GGGAAAAGCGAGGTCCTTAGGTCTCCCTGGTCAGTGCCAAGCCGCAGACTGTTAACTACTCCTGCCTTTCAGAAGCAATAACTGCGGGTTTGGGAAACATATGGAACTAACTAGCCGAAAGGCTTTTATGAGCAGCTTTAACAGGGGGCACGGTTTGTGAGTAGAAATTCCAGTGGATGAGTTAATAGTTTCACTTTCCTTAGCTGTCCCTTTATAGGAAAAACAACAACAAAGTCGGGCACGTTCCTCTCACAGCCCCGGCAGTACAATGTGCCGATGCATCCAGGATTTCGTTTGGACACTGGGGGAGTCCTTTAGTAGTTCCCCCAGGACCTGTTTTTCCAAAGCTATTTCCTGATGCTGACCTCATTAGGTGAGTTTCACAGCTCACTAATTCCTAGCAACAGCACAAGAGATTCAAGGAAAGGGGAAACCCGTCTTCTGGAAACCAATGGAACTGAACAGATTTGGGCAAGCACTTTTATTGCATTTCATTAATCTGGAAAATCAGGGACTTGCATTTTTGGTTGTTTTGGTTTTTTTTTCCCCAAGTCACTGTTTTGACCTGAAACTGTATATTTTGATTTTCTATTTGATTACAGATTAGGATAACTACAAAAGCAGAACCCCTGCAGAACTGTATATCTCAATATTTATATTGCAGTTTGTTTTGAAGAGTAGGGGAGGGGGCATTTCTTTTCCAGAATTGCAATTTTGGGCAGTGACAGGATATAGTCACTCAAACACTTCCAGTAATGCTTATTTAGCATTTGCATTGTGGTGGCATGTGTCCAAAAGAGAGAGTAAAGGAAAACAATATATTGCCTGCTCAAGAGTTGACATCATAGCATGAAATTTAAGTACTTGTTTTTGTGGTATTGTTATTAATCATGGGTCTGTGCAGGGGTCATCCTGTAACTCCAGCTACTGGCGTCCTCTGGATGCTAAGTTTGGCCTGAGAGTTTTCCTAGGGTTGCCTTTCATCCTCAAGTCTCCTGTATAGCAGACACACCAGAAGAACACAGGTCCAATTTGTCTTAAGCTTAACAGAAAACTTATTTCTTCTGTTCTAATTCCTGAATTTGTTATCTGTTTTATTAGCAATATATTTCATAGGAAGGTTTGGGACTGCTTAAGAACTTTATCTGCTAGTAAGGTTTCCTTATCCTAATTTATTGTGGCGTATTAGGTGCTCCCACAAAGCTGTTTTCCCCTTGTGCCACTATTTGGGACCTTAGTCAGACAAAAGAGGTGGACCTGGCAACCTTTCCTCTTGGTTCCACAGGTAGACAGGTCCACCAGTCCGCAGCTGATATAAAAAGGAATGATGCTGTATTTGATGATTGTGGAGAGGGAGAATACTGTTTGAGTGTCAAGGTACTCAGTACAGCTGTTAGCTAAGGTCTCCACAGTCCAGCCCCTTGTGCTTGTCATGGCCACAGACTGTGCAAAATAACTCCTGAAGTGTCTGGGCCAGTGGTTCCTGGTGCTGTGTAGGACTGGTGGGACCCAGTCTCACTTTCAGTGAAGCAGGACCCTTAGGTCTGCCCTAAGGGCTGAGCTGGTGTCTGCAAACACCCAAATAAAATCTGTGTCTTGGGTGAATGGCACCACTCAGATAAAACGGTTGATCAGCCAAAAACAGTGGGGGCCAGAGACAGGCGTGCAAAAACGTCTTCAAAGCACACCAGGGTGAGGACCATAAATTGTGTGAATAAAAATGCACTTTCCCAGAGCCAAAGTCATAACTTCCCATTGCTTCCCAGAACAAATCCTGTCTGCTCTGTTTATTAGGTGGGACTGTGTATAGGCAGTCACTCTTAAGTGTGTTTATTTTGAAGTCATCACTTGTTCAGTAATCTCAGGCACCTCTGGGAGATTTAACTCAGATAGGGGTTTAGGCTGGAGGTCGTGGGGTCATTGATATTAAGATAGAGAGAAGGAAAGGAAACAGCGTTGTTTTTGTGGCATTATCTGAACAGTAAGGAAAAATAAATTCAGGTTTTAAGATGGCTTTAACCTGACTCTGAAGGAAGTGGTCTACAAATCCAGCCAACAAGCAGTGACTGTGATGAGACCCCACTTCTCTTTAAATTTGTTTTGAGCTGTCCAACCTAAACCAGTGGTGGTTATGGCTTGATTAAGCAAGACTTCTCTATAAATCTGTTAAGTGTTAGAGTTTTCCTTTAGCATATTCAAGTGTTTGAATTTCTGATTTTAACTTTCCTCCTGAAATAAAGCCTCTTGAGCTGTTTTTGGGGCAGTGGGTTGAACCCAGTGGTGGGCTTTCCCCCAGCGGCAGAGGGCTCTCCCCTCAGAATCACAGAATGTGCTGAGCTGGAAGGGACCCACAAGAATCATCGAGTCCCACTCCTGGCTCTGCACAGGACCGTCCCCAAGCTGGTGTCCAGCATCACATCTAGGTCCCAAAGCTGCTCTGAGGCAGAGAGAAGGGGCATGAACATCCTGGCACTAATGAAATGTTGGGACCAGGTTGTGGGGATCCATCTGCTGTTGTAAACTCCAAAGAACTCACTCTCTCTCATGTGGAGTCTTTGGTGTCTTAAAAGGAGTGAATTCGTACTGTGGGCTTTTCTGCAGTCTGGCACTGATTTTTAAGGAACACACAGACAATTTTCTTTAAGAAAACCCTGTGGAAATGTGACCAAAATCAACTAACAGGTTCCAAATTTATTAGGAGGAGACAGGCAGACCCAGAGCATTAATGCACAGGACTGGTTTCCCCAGGAAGCCAAAATAACAGATAAAAAAATAAAAAAGGGGAAAAAAGGCATTGGGAGTAAAGTAAGGATTTGTTTATTGCCATCTTGATATTTTATCATAAAACACACTGTCTTGCCCTCAGGGTTTGCTGGTGGTTTGTATATGTGTGTGTGCCTGTGTGTATACATATATCATATATAAAAATCCAGCAACATCCATTGTTTAAAAAATCAAAAATGAGAAGGATTTTGCTAAAAGCATTTTGGGAAAACCTCTGCTCTCATTTTTCCTGTCAATGTTTTTCTAAGCTTTTATTTTTATTAGTCAAAATGTTTAGAATCCCCAGGAAATCCTGGGATGAACCATTTCCTCTTCGAGCTGTAGCCCTTAGGGGAAAAAGAAGAAAGCTCAGATCCTTTCAAAGGTTAGAAATTTTTCAAACTGTATTTTTTACATATTTTTTAAATTAGGGAAAAACCAAGTTAGGAAGATGCTTAACTTCAGGCTGTGGTCCTGGTTGATCTCTTTGTAGAAAAGCCTAAAGAGACCCTTAGATCTGGGCAAGGAAATCTTTTAGGCTTGGATTTTAATGGGGAACCGATTGCTGAATTGAGGTATAACAGGTTCAGTTGAAAGACCATCTCTTTTTTTTTTTTTTAAATGTAAATTAAAAAATAACATTTGCTTTTCCTCAACCAGTTTTTGTATATTAGTTAACATTTAACAGCTTTGTATTGAAGCTGTTAGTGCCTTGAAGATACTTTATTATTACTAATAGTATTAACATTATTATTAATAATAATGTTAATTATTTGTTATATATGTGAGGCATATACAGTCCAATTGACTGTTTACTTCACCTTCAGATAAAATTCAATGGGAGTCATAGTTTTAAACTAATAAGAACTTCCATCCTGCAAATAAAAATGTACATTGTTAATTTTCAACTCCTCTGGGGTTTACTCCTTGAAGTGGGTAAGTTGCTAAACTTTAAGAAAGTAAGTAAGGATATGTGTCACAGACTGCAGCCTTGTTGGGCCAGCTGGAGCTCAGCATGGCTTACTTTACCCAGATTTGGAGATGATGGTTATTCTTTGGGAAGGACACTGCTGCTATAAATGAGAAAAGCTAAAAAATGGTAAAATGTGAGACTGAGGGATGCAGGAGTCTTTTCATTGAAAATGACACATCAATATAATTTGTCAGAAATCTGAATTTACTGCCACTACATATAATTTTATTTTAGGAAAAGTGTGTTTATTTATATAATTTGTGACAAACTGTCTTAACTACTGTTTTTCTGATTTATTCATCTACTTTTTATCGAGATTCCTTGGGAGCTTCTTCGAAAGCTGCACATGAAAAGCCTAGACTTGGTGGTTCAGTAAATGGTATAAATTATTCCCACAGTCTGTCACAAAACTAAAAAGATTTGTGGTAATTCATGTGAAATTTAGTAGGGGGTTTTTATTTGTTTGTTTTTTTTGGGGGGTGAGTGTGGTATTGTTGGATTTTTTTAATTTTTTTTGGGGGGGAAGTTTTTTTGGTTGATGCAAGGGGAGAACAAAATCTAATCTTTAAGGATATTTATTTCTTTGGTTACCCATATTTACACAGTAAAGAGTGCTTCTGTTTTTTTTGGTATTTTCAAATTTGGGATGGGAACATGGGACTAGTCTGCTGGGGCAGTGTTATAAATCTGTATCTCTTCTCGCTTTGCAGATGGGTGGGTGAAGGGGGAAGACTAAAGGAGGGAGGCTAATAATGAATTTCCTGAAGTTTCTGCTACTCCAGGAATGCACAAAGTCCCAATACAACACCTGTGATTTCAGAAGTTCAGAAGATTTTGATTTTTATCAAAAACCTTTTAGCTGAGTTTGGGCTTTGGATTTAAGCTAGGGGACAGGAAGCAGTCAGAGGCAATAGAAGTTTCCTCATTTAGGGGCTTTTTCATTCCAATTTCTGTCATGTAGCCAATTAACCAGCCCAGAAAGCCCAAGAATTCCCAGCAATATATATGTGTTGTGAAGTTATACTCTATGTGGAATATCAAGGGGTCTATAACATGGTATTTTGCTATTAGGGGGCCTTGCTTCTGAATGTTTTTTCATTTGGGAATGCCTGAAGACCAGCCCTTGTTACTGTGGGCCAGAATGGATCAAGTGAATAGACCTCAGGTGCAGGAGAGTTTTTCAAAGTTTGGTCCTTTAGGCTTTGCTGTTTTGATTCCTACTATCTTTAATGTATTATCTCCCTTTCTGTCTGTATTTCTGCAGGTGCTGTTTGCTCTGAACCAAACTCTGCTCCAGCATGAAAGCCTTCGAGCAGGTAGTTTGCAGGCCCCATATACCACTGAAGATCTCATCAAGCATTACAATTGTGGAGACCTGAATGCTGTGATATTCAACCATGACACTTCTCAGGTGAGCAGAATTGTTCCAGATGGGCCAGATGATTGAGAACAAATCAGCTGCTTTTTTAGCAGTATCCCAACCATCATTTTATACTCCGTCTCCTCTTCCCCCTCTTCCTTTTTGATGCTGTGTGTTTTCTATCCACATGTGCCTCTTTTGCTGGGTGAGAGTGGAATTTCCATGGTTTTTCTTGGGCTCTGGGCAATCATAGAATGGTTCAGGTTCAAAAAGACCCCCAAGATCATCAAATCCAACCATTAACTCAGCACTGCCAATCCCACCACTGAACCATGTGCCCAAGTGCCACGTCTACATGTCTTTTAAATACCTCCAGGGAGGGTGACTCCAACACAGCCCTGGGCAGCCTGTTCCAGTGCTTGACAACCCTTTTGGTGAACAAATTTTTCCTGCTATCCAATCTAAACCTCCCCTGGCACAACTTGAGGCTGTTTCCTCTTGTCCTATTGCTTGTTACTTGGAACAAGGAATGTACTGCCTGGAAAACTTCCCTGGGAATGTGCCTGCAAAAAAGGTAATTATGGATGTTTGGGAGCTGCTGAATGTAGACCCCTCATTAAGCGGGGGAGGGGGGAATATTTGTAATATTTGAGCTTATATATGAAGAGGAAGTGGACCTTACATTAATACTCTATAAAGTAAATAACTTCTCAAACATGTCATAATTCAATAATTTTGTATGTGTCTCAGCCAGCCCTTCAGTCTCCGTTTATCTTAGTTATCCAAAGCTATTAAAAACTCTGAATGGAGGAGAAATCTGCTTTCCAGACCGGTTTGATACTTCATGGCAAACTCTGAGATTCTCATTTAATACACAGATTCTTCTTTCTCCTTTCCTGTTAGTCCTGTGGTTGTAACTATTCCTGCAGCGTTGAGGCACAGCACAAATGATAAACATGGAATAAACAAGCAAGATGGGGTGTTATATTTGCCATGGATGCGATGAAAGGAGTACTAGTAGGCAAACCCATGAAGACGGTCCTGGTGTGGGAATGTCCTGTGTTGCCTTTTAATCTCTACCAGTGTAATTTCTCCAGTGAAAAAGCCTTTATCCCTGAGATTAGCTGTGGCCATTCACACCCGTTGCATGGACTCACAGACATCTGTGGTTTATTGTCACATTGTCCTGTATCAGACCCATGGGTTCAACTTGAGAGGAACGGCTTGCTTATCCCTCCAAATTATTGGATCAAATGTGGGTTTCAAAACAGTGTTAAAGACAGAAGAAGGAAGCCAACAACCAGTCAGAGTTCAAGCAGTGGTGTTAGTCATGGTCCCAGAGTGCACGCAGTTGATAGAGATTATAACACTTACAGGCCATGGAAAATTAAAATTCCTCTATGTATACTGGTCCCTGCAGAACTCTAAATGTTGTGCAGTACTGTTGGGTACAGGGTTTTTGTGCTTGGTAGTGTTTTCATAAACCAGCTTTATACCATTTATTTTAACTGCGAGCAGAACAAAATAGAAAATTAAAACCTAAAATAAACTCCCTATTCAGGCCAAGTTTTGCCAGTTGGGGTGATTCCAAAGTTTGTTCTGTGTGGTTTGTTGCAAGGATGAAAGACTCTGTCTGCCATAGAGAGTTTTTGCCATTTGGTTACCAAATTAGATTAGCCTGGCTTAAATATTACACATGAAGCAATCCCCCTGGGATCTCTCTCTGGAGACATGAAATGTAGGCAGAGGAATTTATCATGTGCTGAGTCTATTGCAGGTCTCATGAGGTGACAATGAACGATTGGCCTACAAATGTAGAAAAACTATAAATATCCCAAGTGAGATGTATCACCACTTAAAGTTCAGGGCAGGTACCCCTGCCAATCTTGTGAGACAAGAGTGCCACAGTATTTTTAGAAGATGTGTCCATTCTTTCGTGATATCAAGGTGCTGCCCCAATTTTTTAGAGGTCTGAGAAGACCTTTGTTTTAATTAAGAACAGGGAAAGGGAAACACCTCTGCTTTCCTGTGGTTATATTACGTTCCTCATTCCTTTCTCTCTCTCTTTTTTTAATTTTTTTTTGTCCAGGCACCATTTTCTCCAGCGTATAAATCCTTATTTAAACTTAGTAAAACTTTAAGGGGCTGAGCTTACTAAGTTAGACTGTGACCCCAAAGTGGAGTAGGAAACATCTCTCTCTCTTCTACAGCCTTCCTCAAACACTTGATTCTCTTGTGACTTTTGTAATCCAGATGCTTATGTTGGAGTTTCTGGGCAGAGAGTCAAAATGATACCAAAGAGAAAGTATTCTAAGCTAAAGATAGGATAGGAGTATTTTCTGCTCTTTCTCCAGACTTTTTTCCCCTCAAAGAAGTCAGTTTCTTTCTCTGCTTTTGAACAAAGTTCCCTAGAAGCAAAAATGTGTTGGAATAGATCAGTAGCTGTAACTTCTGTATTCTGTCTGATGATCTCACAAGGGAGTTGAGGTCAGTATGTCCAGAAACATTAAAATACAAAAAATCTGTTAGTGCAAAATTAGAAAATTATGTCTCCACGTGATATCTTTTTCTTACCTGAGACAGATGAAAAATTGCTTAATGACCCAAAGCCTTGGTGAAGAAAAAATAGGGCACAGAACACTTTATTGTGTTTTTTGCTCCCTAGATCTGATGTAAAAGTCTTTATTCAAACATAAACATTTATGTTTTGGGTTTAAGGATACCTTGCACCAGTTACTTCCTGTGGTTGGTTCTGAGCTGTTCAGTTTTTAAGGACAGCATTGAATTAGCTGCTTCTGAGTTCTTTTGTATTCGTTTATTAAGAGGAAAATTGAAGATCCAAGGCCGAGATTTTTCTCCTTCAGCCTTTCCCAAAAATTGTATCTGTGGTTTCTGGCTATTGTTTCTTATCTTCTGTCCTCAGCCATTCTCCTGACCTGAGGAGAGGCTCCTGTCCCAGGAGAAGATGGTTTCTCCTCTCTCATCGCTGATCTGGCGTGTCAGAGACCTGCAGCTCCACTGATAACTTTATACACAGTTTTCTTCAAGCCAGTTTCCACTGGCTCAGCTATCCAGGTTTCATACTTGTTATTTGCCTGTCCCATTTAGGATTAACAGCACAATCCAGGAGTCATACCTGACACTTCCAAAGCATCTCTCATCTAGAGAGCCTTACAGTTTGTGTTAGACTGTAGTGAGAGCCCACTGAAGTAATGGAGAATATTTTCATGCCTTCAGCAGGCTTTGTATCCATTCCAGTGGGCCCAGACATCTTTGGATATCAAAATGAATAAATCAAGTTAGGCCAGTGATTAACCCAGTTTACAGGCCTTATGCTCACCTCAGCATAACAATCTTCTCATTGCCAGGAGACACAAGGTCTTGGCTTCATCCTACACAGCAGAGCAAGCTATGCAGTGGAATTGCTTAGTGTTCACCACAGCCTGCAGACAGGTCTCAACCCCTTTCAGATGCTCAGGCATTGCTATGCCTTCTTCTTCAAGCTGTGTCCATCAGAAACAACCAAGCTTTTTCTATACCTTACTAGAATGATGTCACCCATATCTCAAGTTCCCTCTGCAGTTCAAAATGCCATGGATTCATGTGGGCACACAGCCTTTAAGTAGTGGGTGTTGCCTTCTGAAAAGCATATGATGATCTTGATAACATGACATTAGAAATCTATACACTAACCCCATGCCAGCATCAGCCTCCCTAAACTAAAGAAGAAAATGTTCAGTGCCTCACTTTGCAAGGTACTTGCTGTTTATAAATCTCCAGGTTGTGTTATGCAGCCCTTTAAAACTGTTATCATCCTGCATTTAAACATGTCCTTTAAGATTTAAGGTTCCTGATAATTCTAATTACATCATTAACTTGCCCTGTTGTCATTTTGGATAAAATACGACTGGATTTCTGGCTCGCTTCTCAAATCAATGAAAACTATCTGTGGAATGCTCCAGCTTCAGTAACTGCAGAAACACACAGCTGAGACCATTAGGTAGAGTGTTGAATGACAAGCAGACCTAATTTGTCCAAGGAATGGAGTTTTATCTGGCGCAAAGGAAGATAAATCCATAAACTGAAGGCACAGCTATTGTAACGCAGCGCTTTGGAAGCATCTTATCATTTTCAGCTGTAACAAAGTGCAGGCGAACTGGCACAGCCTCTCGTTCTTCCAGGGAAAATGATTATGAGCTTTCCAGTGAAGCAAGTGTGAGCTTGTCCCAGGCATCAAGGGAGCCAGTCCCGGGAGTTTGCCGTTCTGGGTCCAGGGGAAGGGTCAGTCACGCTCCCAGGAGTGTTTGTTCCAAGGACACTCCTGGCAGGGCTGATGCTGACCGGGTGTTTGGTGACACTGTGCTCAGTGCTGCTTGTGCCCCGATAGTGAGCAGAGCCTGTCTCCCACCTTCTCCTCCCTGGGCTGTAGCACAGGATGCTGCTGCAGAGGTGTTGCTTTCCCATAGTTCAGAACAGCTCCTGGTCTGCTGTGGTGGAATTGTACTTTCTTTCCGCTTGCACCTGAGTTACAGCTTCGTGTCCTGGTATATGCTGTGAGCGTTTGGAAGTGAAAAAACAGAAGTGCAGCCAAAAATTTTGGAGTCTAATTTTCGTATTATGTCAGAACAAGATTCCAGATTGGAGCAATATTATATTTTGGCTTATGTGTTTCAGAAAATTGGTTACAGATCCAGACTGAGAGCTAAGTCTACTTGTTGATGTCAGTGCTGGGGAAAACACTGCAGAGATTATTTTTTTTATTAATAATCTGGAACATGCCCAGATAATTTTCATGCTACGGGTTTTGAAAATAGGTTCTTCCTTGAAAATTTTCATTACATGTTTGCATTTGGAGTTGTCTTACCTTGGAGGTTTTTTCCTTCCTACTTCCAGTTTCCATGAAAAAAGCAATGGGAGAGGAGAGAGAGTCAGAGAGAAATTGGAACAAGACATTTAAAGGCAAAGATTTTTCTTTCAGACTGCTGCATTATTAGAAAAGGAACATATTTACCTACAGAATAGAGCTGATTTACATTAAAAACAGTTAAAGA